AGACACAAATGTGAAATAAATCCAAATAGATGGACTGTCTAATGTTTGGGTTCTTCGCAGCATCTATTTGCCAACAGCTCGATGAAAAAAGAGCAGAAGGAAATACATCCAAATAATAAAGGCATTAGAATGCATGAGAGACACAGACTCTGACAGAAATGTGTTTTCTCTTCTTTCTTCCTTCGCCTTTCTCAATATACCTTTTGTCTTCGTCCTCTCTGTCTGATGGAGTTTACTCACGCAAACACTTACTGGATGTACACATACTCACACATCACTTCTAACAGCCATTACAGCCTCTCTCGCTCTCAGCTTCTTCAGCAAATATCAGCTGTAGTGGCCCTCTCCATCTCTATATATCAGATGCTGTGGATTCTTCAGGCGATATTGATTTCCACCAGAGGTGACATTTACTATGTGCTCTGCTAAGTCATTGCCTTAATCACCTGACTGGTCCTTCACACTTGAACTGAATCAGATGTCAAACTCTCAGTCCCACTTTTGCCCCTCCAGCATGAATATCACGACATCAACAACGGCTGCCAGAAGCCACTCCTCCGATCCTCGTGATGCCTCCTATAGACTCCTTTCCAAATAATTGAGTACAACAAAGCCTTTAATATTCCTCTTTTTTCTTTCTTTCAACTTCTCTTCCTTGCTGGGAATGCAACTTATGGTGGGAAAGCATTATCTTAATGCTGGAGGTAAAGCGTATGGATCTTTTTCTCCTGATTGAGCATTTCTTGGCTGCACTTAGAGGGCTAACATAAACCTAAAGACCTGCACTCCAAGTGGCTGTCAATAGATAGCTGTATTTATTTCTCCACCATCCAAACTGATCTATATGAAACCATCCTCCATGTCTCTCTTCCATCATCAAATGATCAGTCTTTGTTTCTTTCCCCTCTATATTTAAATAGAGAATTGCTGTGCTGTGATAGTGTGTAGGCCTTGGATTCCCAACAGTACTTCTTCCGGTTTTGCCAAGGGGAGCATGGAAAGATTACTGGAGTAGTTCAATATAAATATATGAAATTAACAGGTAACAATTAATGATTTAAAATAAATTGCTATTTGGTGTTGAGTTCTCAAACTAGGCTTATCGAATGATGATACATACTATATCTTGAAGTAATTAATAAATGGTTTAAATAGTGATAGGTTGAGGGATAAGGGGTTCAGATAGTTAGGAGCTAAAAGGTATCAATAGCATTTGTTTGTGTGTCGAAAAATGCAAAAACAAAATATTAACAATTAAGCCTCAAAGCTTTAAAAATGGCCCAGAATAAAAGTAAGTCATTACTGTATGTTAGCATTGTGAATTCATGAATTTAGAAATGTTGTCGGTAGCTAAATGTTGTGTTTAGCCCTGTGTAACATACTTTATCGGATGTCTGGTTCAAACTATTGCCATTGTAAACGAGACTTGTGAGCCTATACTGTAGTATAACAACGTTAGTTCCGCCTGTGTCGTCAGCAATCAATTTTCTTAGTATTTGCCTGTTAGTGTAGAAAAACAAATGCTTATTTCTATGCTATTGACTGACTTCACTCTGGTACAATTTTCAAGTGCTCACTGACAAAAGAAGACCAGGTTGAACATTGGTTCTGCTTCTGCTCGTTATGTGGTGCTCGAGTGGTGGCAGAACAATAGTGAGAAATGTTTCCTTTAATTTGAAATAGGACGCCAAGTGGACATTTGCACTGTGTCATTTTATTTATGTGCAACCCTATTGGATCTAAATGATCCAGATTGAAATGATCCCGCTCTCTGACATTTATCCTCTGGATTACCGCCCTATTTGCAGTTCGCCTCACTGCTCTCTCTCACTTTGTCCACACATCCTGCTAAATGCTTACAGATGTATTTATCTTTTTGGCTCTGTGTCGATCATCTCATTAAGCTGGAACACAATACACTATTTTCTGCGGGTCCAGCTTTGCTGGAGCGTTATAATTGTTCCTGCTGGAGAGATTGTTTTGGTGCAACCACGGCTCTGTTTCCCCCGGACCGGACCATAGTAATCCTTCCATGTAGCACATTGCTTTGGCAAAGTCACACTGAGCCAATCACTGCAGAACAATGACGCCTTCACAGAGACATCAAACAGGCAAGATATTGAAGCTGAAACACAGAAATCAATTAATTCCTCTCATTGGACCCCTTGGTCTGACGCACATTTATTTTTGTGTATATTTTGGCTGGAGTGTGTTGGCCAGCTGAGGCTGGCTCTCCCTCTTCTGATCACTGCTGAGGATTCTCAGTGAGCATTTCATGTTGAGATCCAAAACCTTTTCTTTCCATTTGTCTAATGGGGAATTAGGCAATGGTTGTTTTTATTCTTGACCACTTTACTTTCAATTTATTATCCATATGTTGTTCAATATTTCCTGGAAAAACTCTCATAACATAAGAGCCATTACATGTAAATGTGCAGTGCATTTACTGGTTCTCTTATCTTATCAATGCACTAAAGAACCAGCAACAAGTACAACAAAACCACACTTGAAGTAAAAACACGTCACTGTGATCGGAAGCAAGCAAAGGAAAAGAGGAAAAAACAAACAATTACTGCTGACAGGATTAAGAACAAACAACAAGGAAAAATCATTTACTAGAGCTTCAAGGATTAAAATCAACACCTTGTTAGAAGTGACACATGTTTTTAGTGCCTACAATACGACTGTGTATCTGTGCTATTACAGAAACCAGGAACTGAAGTATTATTTGAATTATTTGAAGGATTAAAGTAACGTGTTATCTCCGGAGCCTGGACCTTGTGATATATTTATTTTAATGTCACCTTATTTGTGTGTGTTAAATTTGAAGGGACAAAGTACATTTTTCCTCTTTTTAAATATAGCGCAATAGTCTTTTCTTCCACTTTTATGTGTAATCAAGAGGGTGGTTTTTTGGCTATCTGTGGTTAGGCATAATACAAATGACCTTTGACATCTGCTTTGCAGTTCCCAGAATATCAGGAGAGTGTTAGGGTCTCTCTGTTAATCATCCACGGTTTTTGCAATTAACAGGGGAATTCCCAGATACATTTTCAGATATAAGGCAGTTAAAGTCTTGTAGAATTAATGATTAATATCCTACAGACCCCAAAAGAGGCCTTGATAATTGAGTCAAACAGTTACCGAGGCCATAGTCTTTTGTTCTCATTAATGTCTGTATTCATTCCAGATAGCTGACTTTGGGGTGAAGGGAAGTTCAGGGAAGCCATTAAAGCCACAAAGAACAAATTAACTTATGTTGGTTGACTGATTCTATGATGTCATGGGACGATGGCGTTTGGATATTTACAAATATGGCTTTCATAGAGAAAAACAGGTGACTGTTGTGTGATAAGATACATGATAGGATGTGTGTGTGTGTTGAAGATGTTTAGGGGGAATGAGTATGTGTCCTGTCAAAGAGTCCTCTGTCATGACTCCAAATCATTGATTGGGGATCTGCCTAAGGGCAGAGGGACAAACAACACACACACACACACACACACACACACACACACACACACACACTGTGAAGCAACAGATGGAATCAACAACTGCGGACACATACACTGTGAAGCAACAGATGGAATCAACAACTGCGGACTTACTACCTGGGGGTCCCGCCCAGAAGGGAAACCGACCAATGGAACACTGCCAACTCACTGGCTTGCTCGCTCAGAAGTGAACTCGCCAATAACAAATAGCTAGGGAAGAGCAAGCGACAAAACTCCTCCCCACCTGTGTATAAATGTTGTGATCATTTTGTTGATCGGCGCTCTTGTTTCTGACTGGCTGTCGTGGTACGTATATCACACGGTGGTAGAACCTGAGCCCGGAGTACTCTGCAGAGTGCTTCTTGATTAGGTGAATAGGAGATTGGGTGATGTATTGTATGTTTCCACCATTAAAGCAGATTATTGTTTAACCCTTATCCTGGTGCTTTGACCTTTCCTTCTTTTAAAACAAACTCATAGAGGAACGCGCGAAGCAGAGATTCTGCCTCAACAGAACCAAAAACAGATCTTCCATGAAAATGACTCATAACGACGGTGCTCGGTAACAGATGTGTGTAAAAGCTACATGCTTAAGCTTACATGCACAGCTACCTATAAACTACTATATTACAACATTTTATTTCACGAAAACCAATATGTCTATACCTTAAAGGTGTTTTGGGCAACATGTGCCTTTATTTAAGTTAAAGTTTTAAAATGGCAGTGGGGATTACATGCCTCCACATGGGCTGCCAGCTCTACCAACTGAGCTATAAGAAACACAACTTAATAAAAAATGATATCTACATTTTAAACTTGGCAACTGCATTTGACCTTTTGAATTTTATGGACTTTTTTGAACGATCCATTGTTATTCTTTACACACGCTGCTTATCAAGGTCAGGATCAGGCTACCGTAATGTAAAAGCATAAAACACTTTAATTTCCATGTTCATCACAGATTACCTTAAAAGAGAAACTATGAATTGGGCCCTGATGGAACCCATATTCTCATGTGTTGTTCACCTAGAAACAGATGTGGATGTTTGTATTCATTGCACACTAATCCTTAGGCGCTGATAACTTAAATCACAAAACACATAAAACCCTGACAAGCTTAAACACACATATGAATTGGATCCTTTGATGTGGGTTGAATACAGTCTGGGCATGAAAGCAAAACAAGTTCACAGAAACAAGCAAACGCACAAAAGAAAAGAAGCTGATATGAATCGACTTTTCAGATTGTATTTTACTTAATTCTTATTGTGTAAAAAGGGATTTTATAGACATCGTTGATAAGAAATTGCCTCAATTCATTCCGCTAGGCTAGAATGCTATGACCTTCATATGTCTAATACATTTTCAGATAGCTTCCTGATGTAGAATATTGCCCAGAATAATAAGCTGCCCTCTGCTAACAACATTGTCATTAGCATTGCGTTGCCTTAATGCTTTTGCTTTCCTACTGAGTCACTGGGGCTTTATTGTAATGTTTCCGCCTTAATGGACAGTAAAATGGCTGTTCATGTTGTTGAGTCCTGCTGGGAGCTGTGCGTGCTGTGTTTGCAGGTATCCCCCTGTGCGTGTATGGTAATGTTTTTCTTCTGTATTTGCATGCATGTCTCATGCACCCTCGCCATGTCGACAGGCCTCTGGCCCTCTAGTCAACTGGATGGAGTTTATGGACCAGCGAGCATTGTATCCCATCAGGTCAGGAGGCCTTATGATGGAATCAAATTACCATTTTGAAACCCGCTAGAAAAGCATTAAGTCCCCTGGGTGCAGTGATTACTTTGCAGGGACATTACATGTAATGACCTCTGAGGCTAAACGTCTGCCAGAGCTTGTTCATCACATAGACGGTTCTCTATAGACCGTTCACAATGCCGTCTGAAAGTCTTTCATGATGTGTCATATAACTGTCATCCACACCCAATAAAATATTTGACATTGTCTGTAATTTTAGGATGTTCTCCCGTGTTTAAGGTTTCATCAGTTCAAATTAAATGGAATAGCTATAAGTCATTGTGATATAGGTACTTTATAAGTGAAATTGGCATTATGACGAATACCATCCAAAAACAGACAAGTGACATCAATGGTCATTGGTAAAGTCTCCCTTCAGAGTCCTTTGTCTTGCTCTTAAACAGCCCATTGACAAATAAGACATATTTGAGTGATTCTTGCACAGCTATTGCACCTCACGATGAGAAACACTTGGTACTCTGGGTAAATGATGAGTCATGTATCGATCTCACTAAGATTCCTTGAAACGGTATTTCCTCTTGACTCAATGAAAGTGATACTCCATCTAGTTCTTCATGAGAGGAGATTGCTAGCGTATTTTATATCATAATTCTGTGACGGACAGCATCCAGATATTATTTCCGTCAGAGCACCGTTGATCTGGGAATTGCTAGAAGAGGGGTCAAGAGATATGAGGGTGAGCAGGTGGGTTGACACTGGTTGACAGATGGCTCAGTTTGGCAGATGCGTATCATGTGCAGTGCTGTATGGTGTCTCTAATTACAGCACCCACTGTGTGAGGATCCAGCAAATGTCGCCTGATTTCTTTGAGAAGACACTGTTTTGTGGTAACAGAATTGTCACATGTTACATTTTCAGTTCAAATAAATATGCAACATTTTCACATTTCACAAAATCTTATTTTAGAAAATTATCATTGCGTCTTTTGTCACAAGATTGTGCAGCACGTCTCTTTGCTTTATGCAAACATGTGTACAAAAACTAACAAAAAAACCCACCAACTTTCTTTTAAAGATGTGCTCCACTCACAGCTGTGTTGCCAACCTAAGCTTCAGAGTCCAACATTGTGATATCATTCAGCAAAGTGCTGTGTTGGGCCAATCAAACGAGTGCAAGCACAAAATCCTGATTACTTTTTGATAATATATAAATAACATTTTCTGTTTAGCTGGTGAACCTCTCTATTAAGATAAAATGACTTTCACTTTGAAAACCACTAGATTTATAACAGTGACTTGTTATACTAGATCAGAATGCTAATAATATAATAAACCACCGTGCAGCATTTCGCTGTCTGCACAATCTACAAACGCATTAATCCACTAACCAAGCCTCTGCATTGTTTTTTAACCCAGGGCTGTTTTTAGGCAGAACGCCTACTTATGCATTCAGCCCGGGTGGGGAGCTTGTAGCTTGGAATGCTGGCTTACTATAGATATTTATTTTGTACGTAAACTAAAGCAAGCTCAGCACCCTCAGGCAGAGAACACACATATTTAGAGCGTCATAAATAAGGCTGGCCTTTTTTTGGGTGAGGTGCTAAACATAAACTCTGTGGCATTGTGCCAACATGCTCTAGTGCAGGGGTGTCAAACTCAATTTCATCACGGGCCACATCAGCATTATGGTTGCACTCAAAGGCCCGGTTGTAACTTTAAGACTATATACAAATATATATATAAATATTGAATATATATAAAATAATGTATTATATATTACATTATTGCCTCTGTTATTATCAAATAGGGTAATAACTTCATAATTAACTACGTCTGAAAGCAGAAGTCTAGGGCAAATAATTGCATGTCTCTTCGGTAAGAATGTCACAATATGATTTTAAAGGAAAAGCCACATTCTGGAAAAAGAAGAAAAAAAAAATAGAATTTTTGAGAATAAGTCTAATTCTAAGAAAAAAGGCATATTTTGACCAAAAAAAGTCCAATTCTGAGAAAAAGTCAAATTTGAGAGGCATTGGGGGACATGTCGTTTATGGGCAACGTGCTTCTGTAAAGTAGCATGTAACCGTATAAACATATTATATTCTTTGCAAGATCTTGTGGGGCCACATAAAATGAAGTCGCGGGCCAGATTTGGCCTTGAGTTTGATACCCCTGCTCTAGTGGCTTCATGATTTGACAAGTAATTGAAAATTAAATAGACATACTTTACTTGCTTACTTACTTATGACATGAATTCAAACTGACGGCCTGCAACATAGCATCCCCTCTGGAGCGACTTTGGTGATTTTACCCTCTGCAGAACATTTACATGCACAGAAACCTATAGAACACACAACAAGAAAAGGAAAACCCCGAAAAGATAAATAGGGCCTCTTTAATAATACAACAGCATTTGTAAACAGGTCACAGTGGAACATAACACAATCTGAAAAGGTAAATACAAACTGAAACGGCATGGGGCACATATCTTTGAATGAATGCCTCACATATTAACACACAAGTTATTATTTCTGCTTCGCTGTGCGTCTGCTCCTAAGAGTTTGGTCCCTCCGAGAATGAGCTGAGGCACAACCCTTTACAGTCTGTTTCCATGGAAACGCCCACCCATTGTCTTTGCAAAGAGGGGTTGAAGTGCTTTTTCTTTCATGCATATTTTTTTAATTGAATAAATGTAATTTTTAGCGAAAATGGGTCATTGAGAAGTAGAAAGACAGCTTTTAGTCTGTTTTAATTTGAATTGTCAAATTATAAAGGACTAATTTTCTCTTTTTCATCTTTAACTAAATTTGGTCATATTTGTGTTTGATTAAAAAACAATGTAACCCTGATCACCAAACAAAATGATAGGGCAAATAGTGTCCCTGCTTTCCATTTAAAAGTCTCTCTTTGTTTTGTATTTGTAATTACATGGATTTATGCAAGTGTCAACATAAAACAAACATAAATGGGATAAACAAAACAAGATATTTTTGTATTTGTATTGTTTCAAAGTGCTAAATTGGTCTTTAATAATAGTTGAACATATTTTTTGTGAAACTATTGATTTACTTTACAATATATATTTAAACAAATACATAATAACTTTAGCATCAAAGCAGCAGACAGTTTATTGTTAACAAATAAGTAAATCAAATACACTATCATTGTGCACACAAATATTGATTGCACTAGAATAAATGTCAGTATTGTACTAGTATGTCTGTAATAAGTGCACTGAAATAAATGCAATCATTACACGATGATAACAGATATTATTGCTCTAACAATAATCTTATTATTGCTCAAGAATAATTGATTTGATTGAACGTAAGAATGCAATTATTGTACTCAAATAAATGCAATTATTATACTACTATAAAAGCAATTATTGCACCAGAATTAATGAAATGATTGCACTGGAACAAATGTAACTATTATGATTAAATAAAGGTCATAATTGAACTAGTATGAATGTAATTATTACACAAGAATAAATCCTAAATCAAATATGAGGGTTATTGTCACTGCGTATTTATGTATCTGCTCCAGCCCCATGTTGTTTATTTAGGATTATTGAGTATAAGCTCGTTGAAAGAAAAACATATTTATTAAGTTTTTCTATCTCCCTGCCAGTTCCTGTCGGAAACTGTGTGTTCATGTGTGCTAACCTGACCTGTCCTTTGTTGTGTGTGTCACAGGTTGCCCATGTGGGTGGCCAAGAGGATGGAGGCCATGAGGGCTGTGTACCTGGCTTCCAGGTCAAACACTACCAGGTGGCGTACAGCGGAGCTTTCCAGAAGGGCCAGGCGCTCATACAAGGTCAGTAACAACTCACACAACCGAATGTGAAAGGAGCTCAACTTATTGCTCCTCTTTTAACTTTAAAGTTTGCTCTGTTGCACTTACTCGCTATCTTACATTCTGGCATTCCACAACGCAAATATGCAAGTGGGTGTGCAGACACACAAACTCATATGAACCCTCAGTCTGCCTGCCTGACTCCCGAGGATTTGAATGGCAGCATACGCAGTGGAGCTGAGAGGAGGAAAAGCCAAGCTCCCTGCAGGTCAAAGCATGGTGTGTGTGTGTGTGTGTGTGTGTGTGTGTGTGTGTGTGTGTGTGTGTGTGTGTGTGTGTGTGTGTGTGTGTGTGTGTGTGTGTGTGTGTGTGTGTGTGTATACTGCTACGTAAGTTTGTGGGCGGGTGTTTTTTAACTACAATATGTTTGCAAATCTGAGCCATGTATCTATCATATGTGTCAGTGGCATAGTTTCTGTTTGTAACAGGTGCTATGAGTAAAGAGGTGAATAAAGAGATATACAGGACACGTGGGGTCCCCGGTGCGCCTGGCTCCCAGCTACAGTCAACCTTATGTGGGTCAACTTGTGACTGGAAGCTGCTGGTATATGGCAGTTAGGAGGGGTGGGGTGCAAAATGGAGGGAATGATGTCCCAGAAAGAGATGCGTAAATGGTAGACGAAATAAGTAAAGGTGATTTTTTAACTACACAGTTACCTTGTGTGTGGGCTGCTGTATGGCTCTTTTTATATTCAAACTAGGCTTTTTAACACATCCGTTCCCCTCGTCTCAAAGTAGTTTTTTTAACGTGTTTGTGGTTAGAAGCTTGAAATAAGGTCTTTGGTTAAAACAAGGCAAATAAATGTATGGATTTTGTTCTCCAACATAAAATATGTCATTAATTACCCACCTTGTGAATATCCAACGCTTATATGTGTACGCCGTTTGCTAACAAGTGACGAATGCAACTGCGTTTAGCTTAGTAGTGGTGGTGGTGGCCATGCAACCGTGATGAAGTTTGTTTATAGCGTAGTGTTAGCTTTTTACCTTTAGCTTTTTTTCTGCAAACTATACCAAAATCCCATTGCTTTTTGTCCAGGCACTTCTTTGCCATGCTAACTTTCGACTAGGCCTACACAAATGTGTCATCACTAAATCACTCTCTTAACTTATTTTCCTTTCAGTGCTGTTTTGCTCTCCATTAACTCCTGAGGGAAATATATTTCTCTGCTTGGTAAAGGGCAGGTAGCTCACATATTGTTATTTTAGCTTTTTCACTTAAAACTTATGCTGACTGCAAACAAAACAATAGCCTACCATGAAAGAGTTGTCTGGGTTCTCCACTGCAAGCAAAACATTGTACATACACAGTCATTTAACTCATTGTTTATACAGAAACATAGTAGCCACAGAAGAATAAGTGATCTCATGAGGTCATGTTTCAGTTTTGTGTCTTGTGTTGTAAAGTACATTAGTTGACCTAAATTGATGCTAAAAGGTAACTATTTGATTATACTTACAGTATTACATTGATCTTGTATGACATTCAAATGGATATCTCACCTTTCTGTCAACACACCTGCTGCTTGCTGTGAATTGCCATCTCGGTCCTCTGGCACACACACATCAGCATCAGCAACCCTGAGAGGCTGTGTAAAGCCTGCAATCAAAGGCCATCAGGGGCACAGGGACCCTAGTGCCAAGACCCCATCTGCAATCAACGTGCAATTGGCAATCATCTGATATACTATCTCTTTCTCTCGATTGCCTTCTCCTCTGTTTCCGTCATTTGTCTCTCCCACTTTCTCTTTCCGTCTTACGCCCCCCGATCACTCTTGCTTCCTTCCTATACTCGTGTGTCATCTCTGCCTAACCTACTTAACAGGAAATACATTTACATTTCTGATGCAAATTGCAGTACATCTGCTAGTGGGTCTAGCAAACATCATTCACAGCACTCCTGGAATGGAAAATAAACTCCACATGTTTAATTCAATGCAGGCTGTTCACTAAGAGGATGTTCATCAATTAGTAACATGATGTTTTTAATTGCAGCTTTCAAAGCCTTTAGGGTACAGGTTCTGGCAAGCAGATAGGACCTGTCAGGATCAATATTACATTATTCTGACCAGACGTCGGCACATCTTGACTTTGAAAGAAAGTGATGATCTGAAATGATCAGAGACTGCAGTCAATCAGGGCCGTTTACATCAGCTCAGAAACATCTTTGCAGATTTTGAAAAGCTGCACCATTCAGACTTCATCACCAGTGGCAAATGCATCAGCTGCTTGGCTACCAGCTGAACGGAATCATCCAATCATATTCATCAAGGTGCACAACTTGGCTTTTAAAACATAACTATTCTTGTTGATATGCTATAAACTAAATATCTTCAAGATTTTGACAATTGTAGTCCAACGTATATGTATTGCTAATGTAGAGGTTTCTTCATAAAAGTGGAATAAGTCCTCCCATCAGAATCATTATTGCTGCTGTGACACTTTGAGAACTATATAGACCAATTTATTTGTTGGTGTATAGAGCCATGGTGTAAACATGTTTATCTGTTCCCTAAAGTAGGGTGTTCTAACATGGGTGTCTATGGAGATTGCTCCCATTTTGCAGCCAACCTCAGGTACACTATTCAGCCATTAGACGAACCTCAGTTTTTGGTCCTTTACAATTAGCTTTAATGCTCAGCCCTAGAGGTTGTCGCTTGGTTACATCGCTAACCACGCATTCAAGGTAATACGCAAAAAAGCTGCTGCTGAAGCAGTTATATATTACTAGATGAATTAGATCAAATTGGATTATAGGTCTGCATTGTCACTCTGGGAGAGAAATAAACTTTATACTGACCTTGGAAACTTTCAATTAGGCTCTGTTTTTAACAGCACTCAGGAGATCACTTTGTCCAGAAAGCTTCACTGAGTACTTATAACACTGCTAAGGACCACTGAATATTACGTTGATAGCACTTTCCAGTTTTGACAGTTTGAGAAAAATATCAGATATGGTTTAATTTTTATAAGCATTATTTATTTTTATTTTTTTTATTTTGAAGATGAAAAAAACATGTTAATAAAGGATAAATTGCTCAGGATAATGGATGAATTAAAACATTAATTTGTGTTTCTCACATCCTGCAACTTTTGTGTGGTATAATTATTTGGAGGATATAATGACAACTTATTGTCACTGTGCAACACAGCGTTGTGCAACAACATGTGGGTGCTTTCCCATTAATCAAAAAGCCCAAACTATGTGTTGTTGTAGGCTGTGAATCATGAGTTCAGGTGCCTTTAAAGCCTGAGGAAAAATGCTGAGAACGTGGCTGCTTGACCATGTCATGTTGTTTGGTTGCTGATTCCCGTGAAAACTACAGTTCCATTGATGTTAAACTGCTCCTTGATTTTTTTCTTTAGTTCAGAAGTAATATTTAAACAACACTTGCTTACATGTCGCTTCTAATCTGGCTAATGATGGAAGTGTCATCAATGAAATTCAAAAATAGATTGCTTGTCATGTCGTGTGTGTCCACAGTAGGGGGCTGAGCACAAAGCCCTGGGGAACTCCCATATTCAACACTCGAAATTAGGAGGTGAGATTGTCTATTTGAACTGCCTCGGGTCTGTTTGTGAGTGTGTGTAATATCCAGTTAAAGAGTGTGGTGCTCAAGCCCAGGGTGATAAGTTTGCCATTCAGTTTTCTCAAAGAGAGTGTGTTGAATGCTGAGCTGAAATCAACATTTATTTTCAAGATGTGTCAGGGCTGAGTGGAGGGCAGTGGAGATAATATCCTCTTTGGTTGGCATGTACTTTTATGGAAATTTTTTCTTATTTTGATGTAGTTTGATGTGAAAGTAGTGATACTGTATACTTTATGGAACAAAGATTAACCATTTGCGATTGTATTTGTCTTAACCTCAGGGCTACTGAAGCAACACAGATTTGATTAAAACCATAATTGTACTATAAAATGTAAACTTCAATTCATTTTAGCATTTAGAACAATGTATTTTTACTGGTAAATAGGGACTTTAGTTCCTCAATTAAACAGAATGTGATATAATTATCTCTAATAATTAAGATTATCAAGTCATTAATTGTCTTGTATGTACATGGTCTGTTGTAAGTAGAAAATGTGTGCATTTGTCTGCCAATTTGCATTTGTAAAGCTAGGTGTTTGTATGTAACATGCGGTTTTTCCTTTATTTGAGGTTTGCATCTGGTTATTTCCTCAATTTGAGGTTTGCATGTGGTTGTTTCCTCCATTTGAAGATACGTGTATTGTCTTTAAACATGGCTTCTGTCAGTAGCAGCTGCAGAGGATACCCATCAAACGGGCTACAGTTATCTTTTTTTGGTTTGTTGCAAAAAACCATCCACACGAGTATCCGAACCTCATTATTTTATAGCCCCTCTTGCAATCCCCTGTATATTTTATGCTCATACACTTCAAAAAGTATCACTCCAATTATAAGCTGGAACGATCTGTTTTAGTGACAAGGCATACCAAGCCGTTTTGTGTTATTTTAGAATACCTATTCCTTCATGATAAGACCACAAACATGTGAACCCAACAAATACTAGATTTGTCTTTTTTTTCCAAAAGAAGAGAGGTGTCATTCAGCATAGTTAATTCTGTCAAATTGATTTTACATGTTTTGTGCTTCATATTTGAGTCAAACATTACCTACTTAATAACCGGCCTAATAATCACATTGAAAGCAGCACACAGAATGTGGCATACTATATTTCTTCTTATACGGCTGTGCGTATAAACCAAACACATGGGCCGTGGGGTGACATGTATTGTCAATATGCTTTATTTTTCTCAATTAAATATCTTTACTTGTTCAACCAGCACAAGTTTTAACTTTGGGTTAACATACATTCAGAAGATAAAAGGATTTAAAAGAGAATATGGTATTGCTCAGACAGAAGCACTATAAATGACCAATTTTGCCTGCTTCTTTGTAATATTGTTTTAATAATATATATCCATTAATATTATGTTT